AAAAAAAAAAAAATTCTTTCACTCGGTACCAATGGAATCAAACATTTACTAGCTCAATAGATGTTGTAACACAAAACTGAAGTAGACAAAATAGAAGGATGGATGGACTAATGGAAGGAAAATGATTTCGAAAAAATAATTAACAGACAATTTTTTTTTTTTTATAAAGGTTTTATGAGTTTGTTTAGTTTGTACTCTTAAACCTCATTAATTATAATATCATTAATTAATTTTGTACAAATTTTCTTACTATATTCATACATTGTTACATATTTTGAGTATAAATATTATATTATATTTTAATTTTATATTTTATTTTAAGGTTTGTTTAACCTATGACTTAAGAGCACAAGTTAAAGGTGCATTAAATGCATTATTTTACAATTAATTTATATAAAAAATCATAAAAATTAATATTTATTTTAATATTATTATCACGTGAATAATTTTAATTGACTAATTAATTAAATTAAAGTCAATAGTTATATTTTTTATATAAATTAATTACAAAAAGATGTAGTAAATGTAGCTTTAACTGCTTTATGGGCGGAGGATAGAAAAATTAAATTCAATATGAAAATTTATGTAAAATTAATTATAAATACCGTAATTAATGAAGTTAAACTTATACCCTTAAAAAATCTCATTTTTTATATGGAAAAAGTGTCTGTTAGCTTTACCTCATAAAGATTATGAGGAAAATCATACTAAAATTACGTCGTTTCAATAAATTTTTATTGAAAAAAACTAAACTACTATATTTTTAAAGCATGCATTAAGGTGATATTTGTCATTTTTCTTTTTAATTTTTTGGAGGTAAGACGGACAAGCACCAATCCCTTTTTATATAACTTTATATAGTATTTAATTATTGACTTTTTTTTACCTCATTAGGATTTGTATACATTCACAAATTTAATTTTTTTTCATCTAATGATAAGCTGGATAACCCTCCTATTTCTAAACGCCTCATCACCTATCTCAAGATTCATACTTGAGATTTCTAATATAAATACTCAAGTTCTTAATTATTAGGATAACTTTGGGAAATGCATATATTTATTTAATAACATATGAAAATTGAATAGAAAAATTATATAAAAAGATTATCTCCATATCATTGCTCATAATTTAGAGACAATTTTTATATACAATCTTATATGTCATATAATAATTGACTATTTTCACTTTATGGGATATAATATATTATATCTCAATTAATGAAAAGTGAAAATTGTTGTGATGATATATTCAAATACCCTAAGTTATTCCTTGCCGATCCAAACTTACAACTTGCGACGGTAAGGTCCTTCGCTAGGTTACTACTCCTGATTGCTCGGAAGGCTCATGTAAACTCATTATATTTGATTCATGTCTCTACGAAAGATCACTTTCAATATCACGTTATATTTTGAATATCATTTCAGGTGAATCAAGTGAATTACATTATTTACTTATAAATATTCTGTGAGGATCTTTGTCAAGATACTTTTCCAACCTATACACCTCTCTTTGATTACTTTAAATTTCAAATCAATTATTATTAATTTAAGTATCAGAGTGATTGCCTCAAAATCTACCCACAAGTCTTTACAAATCTTTTCATCTTGATTGCAAGTTTCAGCAAGGATTACAGGCTAATTCGTGCACTCACAAATATATAAAAAAAAATTATAAAAAAAAAAGTTTCGCATATCATTAGCCTTAATGGAATGCAATTCAACGACTTTACAAATGCAACATATGCATGGGAAGAAATTCAGCAATTCCATAAACTGATTTCTCGTGCTCAATATCATCTCCTGCCTAATTAAATTCCCATTACGATCCATTTATTTCGGCCCATGCTCATTTTACTATGGGCCGAGCTCTCCATAGGCCGAACAGATTCCAGAATATTTTTTTCCCGAATTACCCTACACAAAACACCCAAACCATCCAATCTAAAGCTGAAGACATCATTCAATGTCTGCTTTACGGGGGTCATTATAGTCAATTCACAAACCTCAATAAAATCGCCGCCTCCTCCTTCCCTGAAATTTCACAACTTCAATTTTTTCACACGTTTTTTCCCATTTTTTCTTGACCTGAAACTAAACTATAAATTAAAACCCAATCCCAAACGCGCCCTAGGGTTTGTTCTTTCCACCGTCTTCTTCACAACAACGAGCTAAAGCCCTAGGAGTCTAATCTGACACTGACATTATAAAAAAGCATCTCTTTTTTTTGATTTCTTCAACACAAGGTAAGCCACTCAAAAACCCATCTCCTCAAAATCCTTTCCTCTTCGTTTCCAGTTCCAAAATTCTCAAAAAATCCCGTGAGGAAACAACAGGGTTTATGCAGTAAATTGATATTGGGGGGTTTTGACTATGGATGATCTTGAGAAGGCAATACTGATTAGTTTTGATGAATCGGGTACGTTAGATTCGGGACTGAAGTCTCAGGCAGTGACTTTTTGTCAACAAGTTAAAGAGAACCCATCGATATGTAGCATTTGCATTGAGAAATTGTGCTTTTGCGAGCTGTTTCAGATTCAGTTTTGGTGTTTACAGACTTTACATGAAGTTATAAAGGTTAAATATGGGTCCATGAGCTTTGAGGAGAAGAGTTATATTCGAAAGTCGGTGTTTTCAATGGCGTGTTTTGAGGCTTTTGATGATAAGTGTACTGTTAGGGTTCTAGAGAGTCCTGCATTTATTAAGAACAAGCTTGCTCAGGTTTTTGTCACTTTGATTTACTTTGAATACCCTTTAATTTGGTCATCTGTGTTTCTTGATATTCTGCCTCACCTGAGCAAAGGGGCGGTGGTAATTGATATGTTTTGTCGGGTTTTGAATGCATTGGATGATGAGTTGATTAGTATGGATTACCCCAGAACCCAAGAAGAGGTGGCAGTGGCAGGGCGGGTCAAGGATGCAATGAGGCTGCAGGGTATAGCTCAGATTGTTAAAGCCTGGTATGACATAGTTTCTACTTATAAGAATTCTGATCCAGAACTTTGCACTACTGTTTTGGATTGTACAAGGAGATACATTTCGTGGATTGATATTGGGTTGATTGTGAATGAAGTTTTTCTCCCACGATTATTTGAGTTAATATTGGTTAATGGCCCACCAGAGCAACTCCGTGGTGCTGCAGCTGGGTGTGTTTTGGCTGTAGTTTCTAAGCGAATGGATCCACAAGCAAAACTATCCCTTTTAAAAAATCTTCAAATAAGTCGGGTTTTTGGTTTGATATCTGAGGATAATGATCCTGAGTTTGTCTCAAGTATAGCAGCAATGCTTACTGGGTATGCGGTGGAGGTTCTAGATTGCTCAAAACGGTTGGTCTCAGAAGATGCTAAGGTTGTTTCCATTGAGCTCTTAGATGAAGTTTTGCCAACTGTTTTTTATGTCATACAGAATTGCGAGGTGGATGCAACATTCAGTATTGTCCAATTTCTTTCTGGATATGTTAGCAATATGAAGACGCTGTCTCAGTTGCGTGATCAACAATTGTTTCACATTAGTCGGATATTGGAAGTGATTCTTACACAAATTCGATATGATCCCACATTTCGCAATAATCTAGATGTGTTGGATAAGATTGGTGTGGAAGAGGAAGACAGAATGCTGGAGTTTAGGAAGGATTTGTTTGTGTTGCTACGGAATGTGGGTCGAGTGGCACCTGAGATTACTCAGTGTTTTATCAGAAATTCATTGGCTAGTGCTGTTGCATCTTCGTCAGACAGGAATGTGGAAGAGGTAGAAGCTGCGCTTTCCCTTTTGTATGCACTTGGAGAGTCAATGAGTGATGGGGCAATGAGAGCAGGAATCTTAGGTGAACTAGTGACAGAGCTTCTTTCAACACGTTTTCCCTGCCATTCTAATAGGCTGGTTGCCCTAGTGTACTTGGAGACAATAGCAAGGTATATGAAATTTGTTCAGGAGAATACCCAATATATACCTTCAGTTCTGGCTGCTTTTCTTGATGAAAGAGGCATATATCATCCCAATATCCATGTGAGTCGTAGGGCAAGTTATTTGTTCATGAGGGTTGTGAAATTGCTAAAATCAAACCTTGTGCCATTCATAGAAATGATCTTGCAGGTACGCAACAATATTTTCTGCTCTTCCTCCACCTTCAAAACATCATTTTTAATTATTTTTGATGGTATGAATGTGCATGTATTGACATTCTTCTGTGTACCAACTTGTTGATGACAGAGCTTGCAAGATGTAGTTGCTCGTTTTACCAGTATGAATTTTGGATCAAAGGAACTTTCAGGGTCTGAAGATGGTACTCACATTTTTGAGGTATTAATATCCATCCATGTTTTGTTTTCTGCTATGTTGTGTATCCGCATATGCTTTTGTGTCAGATGTAACTTTTGGTGAATGATTTATATTTGATTATTTTCTGAGTTTTTGCAGGCAATCGGCCTATTGATTGGGATGGAAGATGTGCCACTTGAAAAGCAATCTGATTATCTATCTTCATTGCTTGCTCCTCTCTGTCGACAGGTCATAGTCAATTTACATTGTTTTTTTTTTTTTTTTGGCTGTTTCCTTACTTTTCTCATCCTGTATTGTTCATGTTTACCATGATTGATATTTTATGGATTTTTGTGGTAATCTGCTCACATATTTTGTGTGGCAGGTTGAGACTTCTTTGATGAATGCAAAAGTGTTGAGCCCAGAAGAGTCACCTGCAAAAATAGCTAATATCCAGCAAATAATTATGGCAATTAATGCACTAAGCAAGGTTGACTCTGTATCCTTTAAGCTTCTAATTAGGTGCTAGTCTGTTAATTTTCTTTTTCTTAACATGTTTTGCTTATCATTTTTTTAGATAAAAATCAGAGACACAGATACCTGAATGGTATAAGTATTTGCTATTGAGAAATAGAGTTTCTTTGTCATTATAGAGATGTTAGAACCCTCCATTTCCTATAGCTTCTACTCTGCTCATGTTGGCATTTTTGTCAAGTTTTATTTCAGGTTGTGTTTATATGTTGTAATATAATTGTCATATTATGAGTGGATGTCTCTGGACTGTTCTTGTACTTTTATACTATTTAATGTCTGTTTGGTTGAATGTACCCAAAAAAAAAAAAAAAAAAAAGAGATGTGTGTTTGTTTGTGTTTTGACTTATGCGTAATTTATGCCCAAATATATATATTTTTTAAATCCAGGGCTTCAGCGAGCGTCTTGTGACTGCTAGCCGCCCTGCAATTGGTGTAATGTTTAAGCAGGTTAGTATTTACTGTAATTGTAGGTTCCATTTTTCTCTTTAATTTCTTCACCTTTAAATGTATCATTTTTCAATTTCATGAGTTTGAAAATTTTGTGATTAACATGGTTTACATTTTTACTAATGTCTACTTCCATTTGTTTAAAAAGGTTGTAAATTTTTCTTTTGCATAATCCACATAATCTTTTTATCTATCAATTAAAGTTTGGTCAAATTTGTTTGTGATCCAGACTTTGGATGTTCTCGTTCAAATTCTTGTTATATTTCCAAAGGTAGAGCCCTTGCGGAGCAAGGTAAGATTTAGATATTCATTTTGGAGTTAATTGTTTTGAATCTTATCCATAGAGCATTATATAACACTTGTTTTATTGTATTAGGTCATGTCGTTTATACACCGTATGGTAGACACCTTGGGAGCATCTGTATTTCCATTTCTTCCAAAGGCAATGGAGCAATTGCTTGCAGAGAGTGAGGTACAATCTTTCTCTTTAAAAGAATTTGTACCATCGGAGAACTACTTTCTCTTTAAAAGAATTTGTACCATTAGAGAACTGTCTTTTTCATGTTATTGCATAATCTTTTCTATTCTGAAAGTGTTGCTGAAAAAGGGTTCATATTGACAGTGGTGTTGATACCATCAGGGTGTTTTCTGATGATAACCAATTCTTGCTTTTTTCTTCCCCCCCACGCCAATAACCTCTGGCCTATAAAGGTGTAAAAGTTCATAGATGGGAAAATCGCAAGTCTAATGGCTTAAAAAGTTTTATAAGGATTAAACTTGTTATTTGATTGTAAGCAAAATTGATAGCTTACACATTCTCACTCTGCGAACTGAACAATGAAAAACTTAAAATTCTGACAGACTGGCTTTTGGATTAGTATTTGAACTATGATTGTATTCTCTTTCCTTGTGTAACCCAATATACCTGATTCTGGATTTTTTCTTGTTCTAGCCAAAAGAGATGGTTGCCTTTCTCTTGTTACTCAATCAGCTGATTTGCAAATTCAACACATTAGTCTGGGACATATTGGAAGAAGTATTTCCTGTTATTGCTGGTAGGGTATTCAGTGCTATTCAAAGGCTCGCTGGTTCAGTACCTGAAACCAACACTGAGGTATGGAATTGCCAAGCTTGGTGGTTTTTAATTTTGTGCATTGTTTTGGTCTGAGACAAATTCTCTTTTCAATTTTGACTAAAACTGAATATATTCTTGATGTGTGCTTTTCATAGTAATTTTGAAATATAGGTTTTTGATCCAAGCTATGTCTCAGCTTTAAAGTTGGTTAAATTCAAATTTACTTAGTCAAACAAGTTCTTTCTCTAAATTGATTTTTCCCTTCCAGGCCAATTTGGAATTTTGTTTTTCCAAGAATGAATAACATTCAAATAATCTTGGCTTGTGGACTTCGATTGTGTCAAAGTTGATTTATTCAGCAGATGCTTGGTATATATGAAGTCTTATTTTTCTATTGGTTCTATAGGAATTCCGAGAATTACAAGAGCTTCAGAAGGCATTGTATACTTTCCTTCATGTGATAACTACACATGATCTGTCTTCAGTTTTTCTTTCCCCTAAAAGTAGGGACTATTTGAATCCTATGATGCATATGCTGTTACATGCATCATGCCATCATAAGGATATCCTTGTGAGAAAGGTGAGTGCAATAGGGTTTTCTTCATTTTCTATCACTGAAATGTCCTGGCAATCTAACATTCTTCAGTGGTCATGAATTGAATAAATTTCTCTCTGTTTTCTGTGATAGGCTGGTGTACAGATATTTACTAGATTAATTAAAGACTGGTGTACTGGTCCTTATGGTGAGGAAAAGGTTTGTTTCGCCCCCTTCTTATGCTTAGCCTTGTCATATTGGAAGCAAATATATATATATTTTTTGGGGCTCTAAAGGTTCTAATATGTTTTAGGTACCTGGTTTCCGAAGTTTCATAATGGATGCCTTTGCGACAAACTGTTGTTTGTACAGTGTGCTTGACAAATCCTTCGAGTTTGGTGATGCAAATACTGTAAGTAACTTTTTTATTTGTTTATTTGAATGTCATGGTAGTACTTGGTATGTGTTAAAATCACTTAGCCTTGAGATAATTAAGGAATCAAGTTGTTTAGATGTAAATTTAAACAAATAAAGTTGCTGTACCCTTTACACAATTTTACTCTTAATAGTATTGTTTTATTTTGTTATAATCATACTTACTAGAACCACTCTTATCATGTTGATTCACCATGATAGTTTTGGAAATTTTTGTGATTGGCATGGTGAATGAAGCTGCTGAAGTTACCCATTTTAGAAAATTTCTGTTTATTTTAGCATGTTCACGTATAGTCTAGAAGAAGAGATAGAGAAATTAGTGTTGGTGGTTCTTTGAAACCTTTTCCTTTTTATCATTTGCTTGATGCTTACTCTGAAACTTTTTCCTGATCTGCTCTTAAGCTTCTGTTATTTGGAGAAATTGTGATGGTTCAGAAGGTGATGTATGAGAAGTTTGGGGATGATTTTCTTGCTCATTTCATTTCAAAAAGCTTTCCACCTGCACACTGCCCCCAAGATCTGGCAGTTCAGTATTGTCAAAAGTTGCAGGTGATAGTTATTTGTTCTTAAGTTCTTTTATATTTTCATCCATATTGTTTTGGGGCACAGACATGGTATTCTTATAATTTTGGTTTGAATGCTGTTTTATTGTTTTATGTGCACATATGCAGACATGCACATATTTTTAACCTTTTGTACATTTTTTTGGGTGGAGATGTATGATGATTCACCTTTGAGTATTTTTTAAGAATATGGTAGGATTGAGTAATGATTCTATGATTTTACTTCAGTCAGACCATAGCTGGTAATGACCATTCAAGAATATGATGAAGCTGACGAAAAAACTTGAGTACAGGATGCAGTGAGCCATATAGTATGGTGTTATCTAGGTTTCTCGTGCAATAATTTCTTTGAAGAATGATTTTACACATATGATGACCATGTGCTGATTTGTGATATTAACATTGACATGTCCATAAAAGTGTTAGCCTTTCTCTATATGCATGCACCTATTATGGGGCCAACTTCTTGCAGATTATTATATTGATATTCCCTACATGATTATTGTCAGTAAATAAAAAGCTTATTTAGTCCATGACATTAGGATGGAAACCTTTAACAGTGATTCTATCCAACTCACTCTGTGCTTTGCTCAATTCACACTTTACTGTATCAAAGTGATCTTGAAAATAAAATAATGGCATTTTCATTCTGCTGGAATGTTGGTCATGTTTATGTTACCCCAGATCAAACCTTGCTCAAGATTGTACAATCTATATGGGCTTGGCTCATAACAAGCTGTGGTTGTATGTATCTGCAGGGTGGTGATATCAAGGCTTTAAGGTCATTTTACCAGTCACTTATTGAAAGCTTAAGAGTCCAACAAAATGGAAGCATTGTCTTCAGATAGCAGCACCTTGGTGGTCAAATGGCATTCTTCCTGATACTTCATTACTTCATGCCCTTTAGATGGTGCAGCAATTCTTATATTCTGTTCACTACAGGTTTCTAACATCTTACTTTTGTTACTGTTTGCAAAAATGTGTTGTGCACTTTGGACTGCACAACTTTAACCATTGAATGGGGGGTGAGCCCCTTAATATTGGGAGCTGTCCTCCCATCCAATCATTCATGTTTTGCGATCTGAACTGCAAAACAGACTCTGAAGCAGAGATTTTCTATTGTTTATATTCCTAGATGAATTCTTTAATAATCACTTATTCAAAGTCAATTTTGCAGGTTTGTTTATGTAAATATCGTTTTGTATGCCTATTCCAAGAACACTGAGGTATTTTCAACTCCTTTTAAGTCGATGAACCTTGGTGGATCCTTTATTTAGTAACAAGCGTCTCAATGATTTTCCTTTTTATGATTTTACAGTTGTATATTTCCGGAAGCCAGTTTTTTGTGGAGAAGAAGTTGGTTAATTGGTTAACCGCTATCAAATCCTAGTTTCAATTTCCCAAGTGGACTCAGCGTTTCTGGGAGAGATGTTTATAGGTTTTTCGTCAGCCTTTTTAATTCAGTTATCTCGGTTCGTTTAAATCTTCATTATTTTTTGAAGTGTGCAACGGGTGTGCGTGACCATTTTTCACATTTTGTCACCCTACTGCTTTCCAAGCCATATTCGGTTGAAAAGTAACTATGAATGTGATTTCTATTCTTCCCCTTTGACAGAAATAAAGAACATTAGGGTATATATGTCTTGTGTTGTTTACAGTCTCATCTTTTGGAAGTAAAAGCGAAAAGTGAAAACTAAGAGCTCATGATATGTAAAATTTAAAGTACTTATACTACGTGTGAAATTGTTTAAATATTTTTAATAAATTTTATTTACATGTTGATTTATTAAAGATAGTTATATATTTTTACTATTGTCAATGACTTAAGAGTTTAGTAATAATTTTTTCTTGATGGAAGTAAGAGTTGCATGTTATGCGGGTGGAAAGGGTTAAAAGATAGAAGAATATTGTCTTTCATTATATAATTTAACAATCAAAAAAAAAAAAAATTACTATCATTTTGATATTTTAATTGTTATGATAACTTGATTTTTCTTGATCTCAAAGGAAAATATAAAACCGATTGAGGATTGCGGAATTGGAGTATCCCTTTACCTTTCTTAATCTGAAAAGATTTATTGACTATGTTTGTTGATAAGGGCTAAAGAGTTAAATAACTTCAAGGGAGGGCAGGATGCATTTATTATATTAATTCTTGGTAAAATGAGCAAGCCTAAATTCACTTGACCCGTTGAGTGACTCTTGCTATTTTGTTAATGTGCAGTTTTCTTTTCCCATTAGGGTTGGGATCAAATCCCCATGATATCTTGTTCAAAAAAAAGAAAAGAGCAAGTGCAAATGTATCTTGTTTTTCACGGCATGTCAACAAGACGATATTAATGAATCATTTTCACATTGTATGTCCCTCGTCTACAGAAATTTGCACATTCAGGCTTTGACAACTGCAGAAAAAAGTCTATATGGGAGGGTGGTAGTTGTGGTATTTGCTTGGAAATAAAAAAACATTACCCTAGTCGATTTTTTATATAAAAAGTAAAATATTATTATTAATTTTCAAAGTATTAGATTTTTGGTTGGTTTTTTGCATTGTATTTACAAAAGAGTGCAGCTCTTTTTTCTAAATCCTGTTTTTAGGAAACCATAATGAAGCTTAAAATGGCAAGTAAAAAGTGATAAAATGCCATAATTAGCTCTTATCGTTTTAATACATTTTGTTATTTACGCATCCATATATTTAATGTCAATTTTCATCATATTATTTTTAATAAATATAGCACCTATTTTTTTATTTTTTTAAGACAGTGCTATATAGACAATCTTTTTATATCATTTTTTAAAACAATTTTCACGTGTCATTAAATAAGTAAATGCATTCAATATCACGGATCTATATGAATTAAAAAAATTAATTATTTAAATAA